GGGGTGCAATGGTTGTTCTATTTTGTAAAAAGTTACCGCAGTTGTAGGAAATATTCCTTGTCATAAGGGAAATGAATGAGCCTGTGATGGCAATTTGAGGCAAAGCTTTTGACCAATAATTATACCAATCGAGTTGTGCATGTCTTAAAAGGTTTTTTCTAAATAGTTTCGTTCATATAAGTTAAAAATAATCTATATTTTTGGTTACGTTCTTATAGTAAACAGTCGTTGCTATGGCCGTTGCTACATGAAAAAACTCATACCACTGTGTACTTTCCTTAAATTTCACACTCATCTGGAAGGAAATTTGGCAAGATCATTTCAAAATGTTTTTGACAAGTCCTAAAGGGTCTTAAGTCTTGCATTTCCAAGAAATTGAATTTTTCATGAACATCGCCATATTTTAGGATACCATACCCCCTTAAAGGGACGTGAATTTATATCAGAAAATTTGAAGTAGAATCTGGGCGTGGTTCAAGCCTTATCGACCTCAAAGAATATCATTTTCACCCGGTCAGAAAACCTAGAGTACATGTCTTCGATGACACAGTATGAAAGCGTTTTTCTTTATTTCTTCACGCGCTAGCCTAAAAAATACCTTAATTCCCAATTTCTATCCCGAGAAGGGAAGACGAATGTCTCCAGCCTTCAACATGGAGATCCCACGGGGAATCAGAACGAGAGTCAACAAAAGTACACTGATTGAAAGACTGCATACAAGGTCAATCGAAGTGAGAGACATAGCCTGCGAACACAGACGGATTTCCAGCTTTTGTTTCATTGGTATCGTCTGTTTATAAAATGACTAGGAGCCGGACAAGACAAAATCTGAACAGGATCTTTTTAGGCTAGCACGTGATCTCAGCGTGACAGCGCTGGCAATCAAACAAGAGAGTGAGTAGAATCCGAGCTCTTCTCATCAGCAAGTTCTCGCCTATTGCATGCCACTTTTATAAACAAGGATGGCTAAGACTCAGGAAGATTAACATGGATTACGAACAAAACAATATGGACAACTTGGTGAATGTTTTGAAGATACTCCAGGAGGCAAAGGAGCTCAATCACGCCATTTTGAGTTGTCTTGACCTCGTACAAAATGTTTTTTAGCTTGAAGGAAACCTGAAAAGAGTAGTTCACTAGAACAAGGATTGTTAAAGATGAAGAAGAAAATAACAAGGATTGCAAACGACGAACTTGAAAAATTTAGGCTAAACTTTTCAAGATGCTCAAGCTGTGACGAAGCCTCTTTAAGATGGTGGATCTCATTTTCCTAAAACCAATCTAGAAGAACTGTCAGGTCAGCTTTTGTCAAGTATATTAGTATTCAAAGCGAATATTCTAAGCATGTCTTTTTCCATAAAATGTGTGCAGGTACTATAAGTGAGTGCAATGGCAGACTGAGGTCATGTGACAACAGCTCCTTCGTGCTGCCACATACTATCTACTGACTTGCTGAGCCAACTCGTGCCAGGCCCACTACATTTGGAGAGACGAGTTACATGTTACAGAGGAGGGCTACAATAAAATGGCACAAATAATCTAGGAGGACACGAAACACCTTCTGCAGCTAACACTTCAGGAGAGAAACATGAAACAAATGATTTTTTTTTACTTCAATTTTATTTACACTACAATGTAACATTTTAATGTAAAATATATTTGTTCTAAAAAACGTTTGTGAGTTCTTCACATAGCATCATCTCCCTCATCATCATCATCATCATCATCATCATCATCATCGTTTTAACATAACTTTTTGTGCTAGTAGGCAGGCACATCAGCTTTACTCCATAGTAGGTCCAGTATGTATGTACAATATATCAATTTTTTAACCACTGTTCCTGTATAATATGCAGAGCTTTCAACTTGATAAACTGAGCAACCATTTAATACCAGACAGGACTCCATCCAGATTTTCAACACAAGCTGAATTGACCTGAAAATAGATGACAAACTGTATCATAATCATGGTAAAGGTCAGGTAATCCCATTTGATTTACATAATACAAGCCATAGGAAGGGTCTGTAAATTAAAATAGCCAAAGTATATGAAAAGGGTTTGTAGCTAGCATTATTTAATTCAAACTTTTTTATTCTGCAAAACACTCAAACGTAGTAATAGGGATGTAGCCAAGAAAAATATCAGAAAATTAAAAAAAAAAAAACCACTAAGTAGTTCACATTGTGGCCCTTATAAACAAACATATATTGTAAGTAAACAGAAACTTGTTAAAAATCCCAACTAGTAAGAGGCCATAGACCAGTTGGCTGTTAACAAGACATGCTGATGGAGGAGTTGAATTTGAAACCACCACACACAAATCCATCAAGCGGCGGGGAGGAGGATTTGAATCCGGGACCTTTGGATTACAAGTTCAGTGCCAGTTGTAAATTAACCAGTAGGCCATGCCGCAACCAAGAAATTAAATCAATGTAGTCATTAGAAGCAAGAAACTCACCTGCCATGGTCTGTTAAGTCTTCTAAGCTGTAGAAGCTCTACAACAGTTACGCAGGACAAAGAGGATGTTGTTGCTGTTGAAACACAAGACAGTACTAGAAGAGGGGCCTTGGCTTGTGTCCAGTTCTCATTCATCATGGCGGACAGTTCTGTGTCTCCTAGATTTACTATTTGGTGAGGATTAAAAATAAACCTTATTATGAGAATTGATAAAATTACTTGCAAAACAGAACTATTTTGCAAGTTGACCACTTCAGCCCAAGAAAATGTTGAGCTGAAGGGAAACCTCTTGATATTCCTTTTAAATATGTTCCTTCCTAATGTCTTAGATACCTTTCCTGGATTGTAGACTATGTTTTTTCAAATTTAAATTACCTCTTTGAGAGTCCGCTGAAGAATCAACAACATAGATAAAAGCATCAACAGTTTTGCAGAGTTCTTTGACGGGATGGCTCAAATCAATCTCACTTTGATGAGACTCATTTTCCTCCTCATTATCATCATCATTATCATTATGTGCACCTCCTGCAGGAGCTAACAGTTTGCTGAATCTCTGCTTGCCAAGCTGTGCATTAGCTTCTCTCTCTTTCCTGAAATAGATGATTGAATATTTTATTGTCATGGAAATCATCTAAAGGCTGGATTGCTTTTGATGAAAAAAGGAAGGTGGAGATAATATATGTTTGGCAAGTGGGCATTATAATA